CTAATTCTGATCCGAGTTCATCATCAGCATGTTTTCAACGTCTGGGCTTTGTCAATTGTCGATCAGATATGTGATTTACGAGTTAGGAAGTGTCATGGCACGGTCATGTCATCCGTTACAGGACGAATTGATGCGTCGACCAATGATGAAGTGAGAAAGCACCGTCGACGTGCTGTAAAGGCAACAAGACGGCTAAAAGGCGTGAATTTAAAATTTTAGAGAAGCATTCAGTTGACCCTCCATCTACGGACAATGGATTGGCAAAAACATTTAGAAGCAAGTGCTGAGAAAAACAAACGGTGAGTAAAATACAGGGCGGGAAGGTTAATTTGAAGATGAATAAGTGAACCTGAGGGACTGAGGGAAATGTCATTGTTTGTTACAGTTGTTTCTATGCATCTGGACTAACTGTTTTCTCAGAAAATATCAATATTGTTTTGAAATCGAAATTTTGCTGACTTGCCATTGTCGCGCATTGACTCGGTAAATTTAATTATTTGCTTATTATTTGTTGATATTTTCTTTTCATAACCATATATATTTTTGATCATTGCCCTTTCAGCCTGCCCAGACGATTTTCGTCCATCATCGCCATTATCTTGGTCGACATGTATACAGTACTTTCATATTACCTGCGCATTCTACGTTCAATTAACATCTTCGCAAGCTGTACAAGTTACTCTAGCATCGAAGTTAAATTCCGTTATGCAAATCTGGGTTGTCGTTCTGCAGAATGCTGAAAGTATTTATTAGTTCGCAATCCATTTTCACTATTTCCTCGTTCATGGTAAACGCATTCAGAAGGCCTAATTCTGCATAAATCTTCGCTGGTTCTTCTACGATGTCATCGCCCATGCTCGGAAGTCTTTCTGCAATGTGTCCAATGGTGATTGAGTTTGCTCGATTGCTAATGCTATTAAATTTAAACTTTCCGTGTTGGCTCTGAAAAATTAATGGCCACTGACCGAACACTTAATTATTTGAGTTCGAAAGTACCACGACGAAGCCTCTGCTGTATGATTCAGATGGATCAACAGAAGACAGGAAATGCAGATCTTCCGGATGGTACTGCGCAATCGCCTTAGATCTTCATAAATCTACAACGATATTCAAAAATAAATTAAACTGTGTCCTTTCAATCCAAATTCGGCATCTTCTGGCGCAAATCTGGCAGAGGTTGAAATACTAGCTTACAAAACACAGCAATTCACGAAGATTCTCCCCTTGTTTGACTTGATCACTTCGTCTGATCTATTTATTCATTTTTACTACTTGAAATACTCTTCAGCGTTGTCTGTTGTTGACATCCTTCATTAAAAAATTTATTCCATTATTTCTGTCCCTTAATTCTAGATCTTCTACTCTTTAAATCGTTCCTCTCATGCCACATTGCCATCTCCCTCCTCCTGTGTCCTTCCTATCCGTCATACAAAATTTGATGAGATTCACCCTGATGCAGTTGATCCTCTAATCAG